AGCTTCTTGACGGTGGATGTAGTGGTTCTCCACGTTTCAGCTCCATACAGTAGGACTGTCTTGACGTTCGTATTGAAGATACTCACTTTGAAGTTAGTCGACAGTTGTTATGACTTTCATATGTTACTCAATTGTAGGAATGCTGTCCTTGCTTTGCCAATCCTCACCTTTATATCTGCAGCAGATCCTCATTCATCAGTGATGCTTCCCAGGTACGTGAATGTTTCCACCTCTTCCAAAGTTTCTCCATCAAGTGTGGTTGGGTTGGTGTTCCGTGTTGTATTTGGGAATCTTACCTTTTCCTTTGTGTATGTTGAGGCCTATTGATGCAGATGCTGCTGTTTTTGTCTTCGTCTGTATTTGTTCGTGCGTATGAGATAGGAAGGCTAAGTCATCTGTGAAGTCCAAATCGTCCAATTGTTTCTGAGATGTCCATTGTATTCCGTGCTTCCACTCAGTTGTCGAGGTCTTCATAATCCAGTCAATCACTAGAAGGAAGAGGAATGGGGAGAGCAGACAGCCTTGTCTGACTCCGGTCCTTCAGTTTCACGTTGGCAAACATCAGGTGGTGGTTGTGATCGGTAGCTAAGCCAACTCCTCTCCTGATTCTCACATCCTCCATTGACCTGAATTTTTTCGATGTGGTTCTTTGCAGCGTAATCCGGAGAGACCTATGTAGCTTCGTGTATGTGTTTGTGGGAAAATATACTGTCACGTATAACCATTTGTTGAGTGCATATAGATTTGCAAATCTGTCACCATTCTCAGTCCATGTCGTCTCACGATATCTTCGTATCCGATTTTGTCTATTCCAACCTTAGCGTTTAGGTCTCCCATCAGGATATTCAAGTTGTTTCGTGATTACTTCACTATGATTGGTTTCAGCCTCTCATTGAACTGATCTTTATCGTCGTCATTGCTATCATTGGTGGGTACATAACATAACACCTCAAGCCTTCGACCTAAAGGTCTAGTCCACAATACAGTAGAGCAACGTAAGGAGATGCAGTTTCATGGTAGCCGGTGACCAACAATAGGTTTATACGCCATTTGTTCCTTCAGGATACTGGAGCCCATGTGCACCATTGGTTTGGAATCAGGGTCTTCCAACTTCCCTAGGTGGACTTTCCATGTCCACCAACCCGTTTATTGCACTGTACATTGGCTTTTGGTCCTCTCAATTTCGTAAAAAACAGTAATACCACGAGAAGGTAGTGCGTAGGACTTCTCTGGCAGTGGCTGTATACTCGTATTCATACATTCAACGTTTGAACGAACAATCAATGAATTCCATTCTATCCATTACAATTAGATAAGCATAGTAATTTTTTTTAGCCGTTTAACGTGACGTTTAGCTTGAGGTCTTATTGTCTTCTGTTTTTTAAAGACCTTTAAATAACTAATAAATGTGACCACTGATTGAATAATATTCTTTTATTTCGATTTTCGATCGTGGGATTTTTGATGTAAATTCGATATCACCTTTTTGAATTATTTATTTTCTTTGAAAATTCACAATATGAATTGAGTTGTTTTTTTTTTCAATGAACATTTTTTTATAGATAAAGGCGAATAGAATCTTTCCTGCCATTTAATGGTGCTGTAACATTTAGCATCATTTGGTCATTTTTGGAATTGAGGATTTAAAACTGAGGTATGTTCATTTTTCTTTGAAACATGATATATTGTTGTTCCCATGTACTGTTTTTCATCACTAAATTGAACAGTAATTGAACTTGAAAATAAATTTTCATTGATCTTAATTTATTTTTTTGAGCAGTTCAGTTAAATGAGTAACTTATGTTTTCCTGTCATAATCTTTAAGTTGTACCCATTGTTGTTCAGAAGTTGGGACAAGGAAACTGATTTCAGGTGTTTATAAGGCAATAATAATCCTATTTAGTCCTTAATAAATGTATCCTGTATCATTTACGTGATTAGTCTTGAGAAAGTAAGCATTTAAATTTTACTATTTCTGTGACTTTAAATTCTGGTTGTTACGTATTATTATTTCAACTCTTATAAATGTGGTGGGCAATTTGTGTTGGAACTAAGATCTATGAATTATCTGCTGTTGTATATTGTTATCCACAATCCATCTCTTTGTGTATCTGTGTTAAGAGATGGTCATGGACCATACATTATTGGCTTTGTAATATTTTTTCATTGTCACAACTGACCTTGTTTTAAATTCTTGATGTGATCAAAATGCATGGATACTTTTTTAAAATTACATCAAACATTGTTAGTGTAACACTTCATCTTGCGAATTTGCACTATTCTTTTTATCTTATTCATAAATATGTGTGTCTTCCCGTTGTTGATATTACAGGCGCATCTAGCTGACAGGTCTCCCATCTAGTATAAATTGCATCTTTTTTAGGTTCCACTGTTAATCACTATCCAACTATACTCAAATCCTATTATCTATTAATTTTGACACTGAAACTTCCTTTCATTTGCCTAAGTTTAGTTTCAGAAAGAAAATAACCAGCAACGGCAAATAATTGCGTAGGGCGTTCAACTTTTAACTTATAAGCCACAGATTCGACTCCCACTCCCACTAGTCCTCGCACATAATTTGCGTGATTTAAAGCCAAGTACATGGGTATGTGATTATTAACTGGCTTACTTCAGTCAGTTAATATTTATAGATGTTTCTGTTGTCAACACCAATCTGGGTGTCATATTTTACACTTCCTATTTTACATGTGTTAAAAATAAACACTCTGGTATCCTGCCTTTTCTCATTTTATGTTACATATTATATAATAGTTATTAATTTAAACAATGCGTTATCATCCAATCCATAAATCCCAAGACGACCATTATGGTAAGCAGTCGATTTCTTTAGTGCACTATTATTATTACTGTTGTATCGTTCAACTTGATACTTTTAGTTTCTGCGTCCTAACTTAATCTAAACCTTTCGCTGCTGTTTTTGTCTTCGTCTGTATTTGTTCGTGCGTATGAGATAGGAGGGCTAAGTCATCTGTGAAGTCCAAATCGTCTAATTGTTTCTGAGATGTCCATTGTATTCCGTGCTTCCACTCAGTTGTCGAGGTCTTCATAATCCAGTCAATCACTAGAAGGAAGAGGAATGGGGAGAGCAGACAGCCTTGTCTGACTCCGGTCCTTACTGGAAATGCTTCTGTCAGCTGTCCTCCATGCACCACTTTGCACTGTAGTCCATCGTATGAGTTTTGGATAATGTTGACAATCTTTTCAGGAACTCCATAGTGTCGAAGAAGTTTCCACAATGTTCTCCTATCCACGCTGTCAAACGCCTTCTCATAGTCGATGAAGTTGACGTATAGTGATGAGTTCCACTCGACTGATTGTTCAACGATGATCCGTAGTGTCGCAATCTGGTCTATCTTTACGGAATCTTGAAGTTGGGCGTCTACTGCGTCTTTCATTCGATTCAACAGCACTCTGTTGAAAACGTTTCCTGGTACTGATAACAAACTGATGCCTCTGTAGTTCTCACATTTGCTCAGATCTCCTTTCTTTGGTATCTTGATGAGATATCCTTCTTTCCAGTCCATTGGCACTTGTTCCTCTTCCCAAATCTTTTTGAATAGAAGGTGAAGCATGTTTGCAGTTATTTCAATGTCTGGATTCAGTGCTTCTGCTGGTATATTGTCAGGTCCTGCCGCCTTCCTTCTGATGGCCATCTTGACTTCTTCGATCGTTGGTGGAGTGACATCTATAGCAAGGTCAGTGTGGGCTGCTTCGATGTTCGATGGATTCAACGGGGCTGGTCTATTCAGCAGTTCCTCGAAGTATTCTGCTCATCTTTTCCTCTGTTCTTGAATCGCAGTGAATGAATGATGCTTTGATTATCCTGGGTCCATGAAATTTTTTTGTTGATACAGATGTGATCAATCTGGTTCTCTGTGGTGTGGTCCGGTGAGATCCATGTAGCTTTGTGTATACGTTTGTGTGGGAATATTGTGCCGCCTATAACCAATTTGTTGAATGCACATAGGTTTGCAAGTCTCTCCCCATTTTCATTTCTCTCTCCTAATCCATGTCGTCCAATTACATCTTCATATCCTGTGTTGTCCACCCCAACTTTAGCATTTACATCTCCCATCAGGATTGTGAGGTCCTTTCGTGAGCACTTTGCTATAATTGATTGCAGCCTTTCATAGAACTGATCTTTATCATCGTCGTTGCTATCATTAGTGGGTGCATAACATTGGATAATGTTCATTTTGATCCCTGGCTTCTTTGTTCTGAATGATGCTTTGATTATCCTGGGTCCATGAGATTCCCATCCCACAAGTGCATTTTGTGCTTCTTTGGACAGTATTAGAGCAACTCCCTGAGTGTGTGGACCGGAGTACAGCAGCATCTCTCCTGTACCTAGCCTTTGTTGTCCAGTTTGTGTCCAATGGGTTTCGCTGATTCCGAGTACTGCCAAGTTGTTTCTTCTCATTTCCATTGCTATTTGGCTGGTCTTTCATTTCTCCCACATTGTCCAGACGTTCCATGTACCTATATAGAGTGTTGCTCTGGTTGTTAGAAGGTGCGTCGGTCTCGTGAATTCTGAAGAAATTCGGCTTTCATCATGGGACGTCATAATTCTTCCTTGAACTGAGAGGGCAGAGTTTAAATGGTTTTAATTATTTTTTCTGGTTAACGTTTTTTTAGCGAGTTAGCTTTTCTACAGGATGGGGTCGCTAACCCCATGCCCAACCCTCCTCCTTTACCCGCGCTTGGGACCGGCAGTAACCCCAGAAGAGCTACAGGCGGAGTTTTGGCTAACCTGATGAACACGATAAAGAGTGACAAGAAAATCTCGAATATTTGAAGAAAAAAGATGTGGTGCCCCCAATTCCAGATGACTCATTCAAGAGAATATTAAACAGACACATAACGTAACCAGAAAAGAAGCGATATTGGCCTAAGCATTCTAGCCTTAACTGACGAACTTGAAACGGAACTTACATTCTCATGTTCACAGGTTCTATTATGTTTTATTTCTACGCAAAATGCAACGGTTTTGCAATTTACATATATTTGCAATTCATATATTAAGGAATGATAACTTAAAAATTAATCAAGAGTATAAAAACGGAGGTCAAATCTCTGAACACCACTTAGAAAGGCGCGTGATCCAAGTGGTAAAAATTGGCGGTTCAGGTTAGTTATTTAATTAGTGTAAGGAATCGCACATCACAATGTTGGTCTCGATTGTCAGCTGTCTTGTTTTAAAATTCATTAAAATACGAATGAGTGCTCCAGAATAATGTTCAAAAACTTTTTACCAGGTCAAACTTATGTTATTTGTGTTTTTTTGCAAATGCTTATATAAGCATTACAGTTGACATATGTCAACTGTAGGTGATTGAAATTCTTACTTTTGTGCGTTACGACAATTTTGTCTTGATATTCTTTAATTCACAAACCTGATGTCGGTCATAAAATATCAGCTGGTGACTAGCCTTAAGGTTTCGTATCTTAGTTTCGAGCTGTATATGAAATTCACATTTCCAATAGTTCCACTTTTCAACCTCTGGCAATAGGTATAGCAGGTCAGTTGACCTGTGTCCATCCTTAGTTGTCTTTGTTAATTCCCCTAATATTCTGGTCGTCCTTATCACTTTATTTCTGTCACTTGAGCTTCCATGATCGTGGATACTAGATAGGGTTTTACTGTTAAACATAATGCGGTTATGTAATTCAGGAAACATCTAGCTTTCTGAAATATAGCTTCTCAACAAAATTTGGTTTTTTAGTCGAGCAAAGGTCACTATCTTACCCTGTTGTCCATATAGTGGCACTGGTTTTTCTCGAAATATTACAGGAAAACAAAAGTGTGATCGTGAAATCTGTCTCCTTTGTCCTTATACATCTAGGATTTTAGGGAATAAAATATATGTTCATATGTAAAAAGAAAGCCTTTAGTTATCGTTTCTTAAAGCTTGACACCATTCGCGGACCATAAGAATGAGCCAAACTCATCTCAAGTTAAGTAGTCATTCTCCTTCCTCAAGCCAAAAACGAAATCGCATTATTTGTCTCGCTTTCTAATTTCACTCGTCCGATTTAAATTCTTATGTCCAGTACTTTTTCACCGTCTACATCAGTACTTTTTATTGATTTCTTGTACCATGCTAATATAGGCTTCCGAGTTTGATGGGAATAGTGATAACCTGAATCGTTTTGAGCTCATGCTATGTTTTGTCTTGATTTTCATGTGTCCTGTAGAGTAACCAGTGTAAAAATAGCTTTCGCAACTGATGAAATTAAATTTTAGAACTAAGTCCTACCGCGTATGTTCCATTTGACAGTTTTGTCAGGTCCGTCCATATTTATGATTGTGGTATTTGTTTGGGTTTTTTCACATTTCAATTGTCATTTACGACAAGAAATCTGGCGAAAATGTAGAACACGCTCATAGCGCGTCGATCCGCTCATTCGAACTTGCGACTGCAATCGTCAAATAAGTTCAGTCATAAATGATGTGTTTGTGAAGTCACAGTCCTTCGAGCAAATAAGTGGTTGTTCTGTACTTTTTCACTCAAATAATCACATCTTCTTAAACGGCTAGATCATTGAGGTTGCTGACTGTCGTAATAGGGTTAACTGGATTAGTTACCCATTCGAAAATACCAAAATTGGTTTTGACTTCATAACCAAGTTTTAGATGATCACATTCATGCAGTCTGATCATTAAGTTTTGAAATTTGGTAAGCATGAGCAGAATCACACAACAAGATTGTTAGTATTTTTTGTAATTACTTACAAATTACTATGGTAATTCCAAGGGATTGTGCGTAGCCAGATATACGCTTTCGTAAATTAAAGTCACAAAAATATAGCATGTTATTTAACGCCATCATAAAACGCAGTCATTTTATTTATTTAAACATAAATATTGGTACAAAAGGGCACCAGATACATATGCGCCACACAAATCTCATGTGATTTGTGTGAGGGCTGTGATACTGTCCGGGTGCCCAAACCGAAACAGGTGGTTTTCTTATGAGACCACACCCGGAGCCTTTGACCTAAAGGTCTGATCCACAAGGCAGTGGGGCGTCGTGAGGAGATGGAGTCCCATGGTAGACGGTGACCAACAATTGGTTCATACGCCATTTGTCCCATAGGGATACTGGAGTCCATATGTACTATTGGTTTTGGAATCAGGGTTTTTCAACTCCCTTAGGTTGACTTTCCGTGTCCACCAACCCGGTTAAAGCGCTGGACATTGGCTTTTGGTCCTCTCAATTTCGTAAACGAAAGTAATACCACAAGAAGGCAGTGAGTAGGACATCCTTGGTTGAGGCTATATATTCGCGTGGCCATGTGAGAGCATTTGGAGAGGGAGAGCGTACTCTCCCCACTCTTGGCCATACCAGGGTATTTGGGGGCCATAATTAAATTTAGAATTGAAAACCTGCATGCTTCATTCACAGTGTGTTCTTTAGCTAGATGAATAAATTTAATTTCTGTATGTTAGGTTAAACTGTAGACGACCACGCATGTAAATCGATTATCGTATATTAACTATTTTGAGTTAATCTATTTGTATAAATTGAAGGCAGTATTCTTACCAAATATGATTGTTTAAGACTAGATTTAGCTTTAATACTAAGATCGTGGAGACAAGAAGAGTAGCTCACTTTTTTTATTCATGCACTATATGAATCTGTAGTTCAGTGATAGCTGTGGCGTATTTTACCTTGCCAATAGCTGTTTGCTTTTTATTAGATTATTGGATCCACCTGTTGGTAATTCGTCGGCTTTATTACGCGATAGTGTTCAAGAGGTAAACGAATTCCTCGCTCATTACTGACGTACTGTGCAGTTTTCGCCATATGTTCAGGAGAAAGAACTTTTCAAAGCATGTCCCGCACATCTGCCCGACAGCAGCGTATGCGTGAGCAGACACTGAATGAAGAATGCATTGTACATGAAGAATTGGGACCTAGAACATCAAGTGAATGTCGATCAAGAGGATCCAAACTGATCATTAGTAGTCCAACAACAACATCGCACCCATGTCTTAATCTTCTTCTTTCCGGTTCTCAAGCCTCGACGCAGCAGATTGATGATAATGTCAAGTTAGCTAGTCAGTACAACCGAGGATTTGGAGCTAGTGCTCTTTTGGCTTCTTTAAATGCAGCTGATCAGCAGAATCAGACGGAAGCTTATCAAGTAAGCCACTAATAAGATGTCACTTCACTGTGGCATTATTCCCTATTTTCCATTTTGATCAAATTTTTTTGGTTCTCATTCTTTCCTAGAAGTTTGAACTGGCATAACGTTTAAATTTCACGTCTTTTTATTCAGCTTGCGTGGTAAGAGGAGCTCCAATCAAGATAAAGTTTTGTGCTCATGTAACTGAAGATTCCATAAACTCGTGTACCCTGTCAACGTGGTCTTGAAGGTTATGTTTTATAAATATATCAGAGCAAAAAGCGAGAGCAGATATTTCATGTGCACAAAGTTTCTTACAATAATACAATAAAAATTATTTTGTGGAGATTAAAAATGAAAAATAAGACAGAACAGTTTGAATTCTAACAACCCTTAATTCTTGCTAATAATTTACCAACCTTAGAATAATTTTCCGATCGAAATACATGGTAAATATTCTTTATCGCTGGTCGGTTTCATATTTATTGATTGGAAGTAAAGATAACATCAAGTCATTATAGTTTGAACCAACTGGGTTGAAATAAACCAGGATTGTCTACATTCATTATTATTTATTCACTGGTCAGCTAAATAATAAAATCTCTGTATCAGCATTGATAGAGAAAACATAAAAATAAAACAATAAAAATTCTTTGGCAAATTATTTCCATTATTTGAGTTAGATGGTAAGTAGACGGTAAGGAGGAGAAAGAGAATTTTTTTTCCTCTGAGTTGTGAAATCTTTTCAACAAAAGTCAGCGTGTTAACATCAACTTACTGAATAGTTATTTTAGACAATTCTGATATTATCGGCTGGTTAACAAGCAGCAAGTGTTGCTATATGATATCGATTGCTCCAGCCAGTGTAGCTCGATTGGTTCATCATGATAGGCAAGCCCGACCACCACGTCAAGGTAGCAGCGACGGTCGTAATATTATAGACTGGAATCAAATGTTACTTTATTATAGTCACATTCTGTCGTAAGAACGAATTTACACGTTATTGGTTCTTTTCATCTCGCTTGCTTACAAACAGACTACAGTTTTCAATAACTTGAAGATTAAAAGAGCGATTTGGAATCTGATTGCATCAAATAATGTAAGATTAATTTCTAGGAATTTAAGCTACACACAGTCAATCAACTTACTAAAGTTACTGGATCAAGTTAAAGTTATTGAAGATTTAATTACTAACCTAGCCAATCCAACTCAGTTTTAAGCAATTTCTTTTGAGTTATATGGTTACATTTTTTCTCCAAAACTTTAATCTGGGTGTGATATCCCAAGGTCCGAGAGTGAAGTTGTACTGCTGACTGTACAGAGGTGTGACGGCAATAGGGTGTTCCCTTTAGACAATCAGCATTACAGCGGTACTGCATTCCCACGAAGAAAGGGTGAAGTTAGAAAAGGTTGACCCTGAAAATAAACACCTCGCCTTATCCCACGGATATCCATCTCCGGCGGTAAGGTCTCAACAAGTATGGAGCTAATATAAAAAGGTCGTGTGTGACCAGCCTTAAGCAGTTGTCCTTTGGGCACTGAGGTCACACCCTCAGGACCAACTTTAACCTAATTTCCTTTTCAGGTACCTCTAGAAGAACCTTTTCACGGTGTGGGCGATCCGGAAGTGATAACCGCCCCCATACTTCTAATAGCACTGGCGACCACTGTATTCATAATAAATTCTCCTCTTCAATTCCTATTATTCATCCTATCTCGACTATCAACTTTATACTTTTCCCTTAGGTGTTACCAACGCTTCTAGTGCGCGAAATACTGTCCCAGGTCTGCTGAAACCTCGCTCCAAAGTACAAAAGCTAAACACTCAGACATAGTATTCGTAGCAGGTAGCTTAAACTAAACAGAAAGACACTTAGGTGGTTACTTTAGTATTCCGGCTCAGCGATCAGATAATGGTGATCATCTGTTGCAACTATGCTCAGACAATCGTTTATTTTTAGCAAGCACTAATTTTAAGCATAAGGAGAGACATTGCCTAACATGGCGACCCCCTGAACCAAACCAACGATGGACTCAAATAGACCATATTGTCATCAATCATCGTTGGAAAGGCTCGATAGAAGATTGTCACTCTTACTGGAATACACGTTTAGACTCTGATCACGTTTTAATACGAGCACGCATTTGCTGCCGCCTCACTGGACTCAGAAAAGCGATATTAAGAAGACCCATTAAAGTTGAGCTCACCGATGAGATAGCCAAAGGTAGATTCCAGAAACAACTGAAGTCACACTTAAGCAACTTCGAAAATGAAACTGACCCAGATGTTGTTTGGAAATATATACGAACATATGTGAAAACAACAGCGTCATCTACTAGTGAATTGAACTAAAGTGTTACGAAGAACCAATGGATTCCTTTAACATCTCTTGCACTGATAGACTCTCGTAAACTTAGCCCATCAAGCTCCGAACACAATGAACACGGAAACAAATTAAATATAGTCTAACCAAGAGTCTACGGAATGAACGTTAGTAGTGGTGGGCAACGAAATCAAAAGAGATAGAAAAGGCAGAGGCTGTGGGTAACACAAGACAGCTTTTCAGACTAATAAAAAAATCGTAATTAAAAAGTCTAGTGTAACTAAGAAAATCTCGGAAAAAGATTGTACTCTTATCTACTCTCCGTCTAGACGTTTAGAATAATGAACTGAATACTTTAAGGAACAGTTCAGCTACTCCACAACTAACCACCATTCCCAAATAGCCTAAATGGAACATTGAAGTAAACCCCCTGACTCTAATTGAAGTTCAAAAAGCTATAGCTAATCTGAAACAAAGAAGAGCAGCTGGTCCAGGTGGATTGGCTCCAGAGATTTTTAAGAATGGTTGTCTAGTTCTAGGGGTTAGGTTGACTAATATTTTAGTTAAAATCTGGGATTTAGACGTAACCCCATCCGACTGGCCACAATCACTTATTGTCCCAATATATAAGAAGGGGTCTACACCATCCTGTGATAACCATAGAGGGACTAGTTTGACCAATATAGCATCTAAACTACTAGCCCCAATAATTATCGGGCGCCTAACTGAGACTCGTGAACTGCAAACACGAGAAAATCAGGTTGGCTTCAGACCTGGTCGTGTCTGTATCGACCACATATTCACTATTCGTCAGGTTTTAGAGCACAGACATGCTTATCGGCGTCCGACAATGGTGGTCTTTCTTGAGTCAAAAGAGACATTTGATTCTGTAGACCGAGAGGTTCTATGGAAGTGTCTGTCATTGAAAGGTGTGCCTCAGAAGTACATAAACTTTGTGAAGGCTCTTTACTCGAACACTACTAGTCAAGTGAGAGCTTGTGGCGAACTTTCATCTGATTTTGCGACCTCAAGTGGTTCCAACGAGGCTGTCCACTATCCTCTATTTTTGTTCAACTTCATCATAGATCTACTGCTAGAAATAACGTTCTCGTCAACTGAATTTTCGGGCATTGATTTCCTACCAGGAGGTCCACTTGTCGACTTAGAATACGCAGATGACAGTTTTGTTTGGTGAAGACGCTGATAAAATGCAGAGGCTTTTGACAACACTGAGGGGCAATGCCAGGGTGTTTGGGATGTGTTTCTCTCCTTCTAAATGCAAGTTGTTGCTCCAGAACTGGCCTGCGTCAATACCTGAACTAAGGATAGGCAGTGAAGCAGTCGAACGCGTTGACAACTTCACTTCAGCCCTAATAAGTTGGTGTATGACGAAATCTCTGCACGGATTCAAAAAGCTCGTTTGGCTTTTGCCAACTTACGTCATCTATGGCGAGGGCGAGATATCTGTCTATCAATTAGGGGACGAATATACTGCACAGCAGTTCTCTCTGTTCTACTTTACGGTTGTGAAACATGGCCATTAAAAGTAGAAGATACTCGTAGGTTACTAGTATTTGATCACAGATGCCTTAGAAATATTGCTCGCATCTGCTGGGATCACCGGGTAAGTAATAATGAGGTTAGACGCAGGGTATTAGGGGATGATGGTGAATCAGTTGATGAGGTTGTGAATCTTGATCAACTGAGATGGTTGAGCCACGTGTTAAGTATGCCTGAACACCGATTACCACGACGCGCAATGCTGACTAGTATTGTGGATGGTTGGAAGAGAGTTAATGGTGGCCAAACCGAAACGTGGCATCAGTGCTTGAAGTCACTTTCTTCTAGTCTGAGCCATGTTGGTAAATGCAGATTACTTGGTTGGGGTCCACGTTACTATCGTAACCAATGGTTGGAGACTCTGTGTGACATGGCTCAGAATCGATCACAATGGCATCGGTGTATACACTCTGTCTTCCCCTTAAACTGAGGTTAGAATTGCTTCATACCTTTAATTCTACGAACTAATTCCTTCTCCCTATACCAGTGAAGTAACTGCTCCTATGAATTTAATGTTCATCTTGTCCTAATGAGGTATGGCAACCTGGACCGATGCATATATGTGCCTGGTCCTACGTTGTACCTGAATGTCTGATATCCCTAACAAATGTTATATGTTATGTCCAACACACCAATGACTAATATAGTCAAACTCTCATATTCCAAAGCCTTGACAGTATTTCTGTACGTTATTTTGTTGCGACAGATACACAGGTTTGAACGTTCTGAAGATTACTGATAATTTAAGTTTTTGCTCGCATAGTGACTGTTGATCTGAAGTAGTAAATGAAGAACGTTGTATCTTAATTGATTTCTTGTTGTCTATAATGTCATTCTGTTGAGAAGCCAAACCTTTATGATTTATTTTCGCCATCGGAAACATATTAATTAAAATTACCTGACATAACTGTACTTCCGATGAATTAAATAAATTACTGATTCGATCGCAAACAGTTTTAGTAGTGTATTTCAGTTATCTCTGAAAAGTGTGGTGTGACAAGTGATTAACTAGTTTATGGTTCAGTTTTGTAGTTCATGAGTTTTAAATTTTAAGTACTGTAAAAGCACGAAAACCCTAATGATTTATAAATCTGGTATATTTAAACAGGTGTACCCGAACATGTTTCTAGATTAACGACTATCATTTCTTTTCAGACTAAACATTTTCAATCAATTGGAGATTCACAACAAATGATATCGCAACTACCTGAAAGAAACTGCCAGCAGAGGAACTCGACTTTCAGTAATTGTGGCTCATCGCTTATAGCTGAAAACTCTGCTTCTACTCAAAACTTTAAAGATATCAGTCGAAGTTCATTGTACGCTATGTCTACTTCTAACAGAGGACCTAATCAATCATTACCTATGCATTTCACACCTCGTAATTTACCACATGGTCAAGCAAAGCAAATACAGTCTAAACGCAGCAGCTTTGACGATGGGACATCTCCAAATACACAAGTAAAATCTAATTCAGAACTAAGTATACTTGAAATGGAATCTATTGAGTCACCAACCCCTTCTGAAATGAATTCTGTACGTTAAATATTTTTGATTATCTTGCCACATTAATGTAATGATACACTGAATTAAGTTACTTTACATAGTTATTGGCTGTTCCTGATAATTTTATTTTATGCTTAGTGGTAGTAAAGAAAATGCCTAACGCACTAATTTAACATACTATCTCAAATTGTTTCCTAAATTAGTGTCGTGAAATAATAGATATACATACAACTTTTTGCTTAAGATTGCCATGCATGCATATCATACGAAACTTGAAGTTTCAGACAAATTCTTAGGATATATCATAACAATATATAGTTTACGTGTTAGAGGAATGCATTATTCTGTTTTCTTATCAAGTTATAAGTCGATACTGAGCTCCACAATTAATGATTACCTTTTTTCCCAGTCTGTCTCGAACATCTCACTTTAAAAATTTATAGCATTCTTATTGCACTGGTTTATAGCTAGGTAAATGTTGTTTTGTTTTCATAAGTTTCCTTCTAAGTCGTTAGTGCTTTTACAGATTATAGCAGCTCTCCTACGATCAATTTCGATTACGGTTAATTTTTGTTAAGCCCTTTTATTAACTTACTTAGCAGACAGTGTTATCCGAGCAATAACTCGTCTATTTCTTTGTACTATTATGATCACTATCTTTCGGTATAATTGTGTACGCTTGGTTACATGACAACCTACACACATTTCTCTAGCTTAAATATCTCTGGGTAAATCATTCTCTTCTCCATGAATATATATGTACTCGAATAACTATTGATAGCCTTTGCTTTGATGTACCCTTGCTCGATTTGACTATAAATTCGCCTCTGTATTTGCTCGCACACACATATTCGCCCCTCTTCTTCGAATTCGTTCGATGTGATTATAGCTTTGTTACCCATGATATCCTCTAACAAACTGTAGTTGCCGCTTCTTATTGCCCTCTGATATCAAACACCCTTGAGATTTATGTAGTAACGGTTATCAAGGTGATTGATTAACGAAGATAAGTCATTATAAGAGCATATTATATCATGAATTGATACTAGTAGGTAAACGATTTAGCAACTATTGTAGTGGACGCTACTTACAAAGATATTTGTGAGTAGTGTGTAGCAGGACGTGGCATCAAAGTTTTGCAATAGTTTTCGGATAGAGTGAAGAGTTTCAGTGCATCGGAAGCACGGTGTTGGCAGAACATCTGGAGAAGACAGCTCAGATTTCAGAACACATCTAAAGATGCTTACAACTAAACATGTTATAATCCATTTCGAACTGATGACTTGTTTCAGAGCAAATTTTTTAAGATTGAGATTTTGGAATTTAAGATTTCGATAAGCTGAATATATCTTAAAATACTGTTAGATTGATTGCTTTTGAGTCCCAGAGTGTTTAATACATACTAGTTTCAAGTCGTTGATCTGTACTTTCAACTTGATGAATATCATATTTAAATTAACCCATTCCTTATAAAAAAATAATTCAAGGTATTTGATGAATATTCTGCCCAAGTGAACAATGTTAAGGGTTAGACATACATACTAGTTAAATGTAAACATTAAAATAAATTTGAGTCAAGAAATCAAAAATTAGAATGTTTTCTCTCATAGTTGTTTACTACTTTAAGGTAGACATGCTCCAAAATCTGTAGTAAATGAATGAAGTTCGTTGAATCCTTTCTGTATTTGAAAACTGAATATTTGCTGATTAGTTATTAACCAACCAATAGGATGACCCTGTATACAATGTTCACATATATCACAACAAAAGTGTAATTGAACCCATATTTAAAGACCTCTGGAGCCAATCCATCTGGACCAGCTGCTCTTCCTCGTTTCAGATTACTTATAGCTTTTTGAACTTCGAGTAGGGTCGGGGGGCCTACTTCAATGTTCCATTCAGGTTTTCTGGGAATAGTGGGTAGTTGTGCAGTAGCTGAAGGCCAGCTAAACTGCTCCTTAAAGTGTTCCGCCCATCGTTCTAAACGTTTGGGTTGAGAGTAGATAAGGTTTCCATCTTTTTCCGAGATCGTCTCACTTACACTTGACTTCTTAATTCCGGTTTCTTTTATTAGTCTGAATAGTTGCCTGGTGTTGCCTACAGCCTCTGCCTTTTCCATCTCTTTTACTTTCGTTGCCCACCACTGCTCACGATCGTTCCTTAGACTTTTAGTTAACCTAGATCTAATTTGTTTACGCTCTTCGTCATGTTCAGAGCCTAATGAGATGAGTTTACGCAAATCCATCAGTGAAATGGACTTAGAAGAAATCCACTGGTTTTTTGGAGCCCTATGGTTTAAATGACTAATAGATGTTACTGCCGTTTCCACAGCTGTTCGTGTGTCTTTCCAAGCAGCATCTGGGTCAGTCTCGTTTACAGAACTGCCTAGATGTGAACTCAGTTGTTTCTGGAATTCGCATTTGGCTTTCTCGTCCTCCAGTTCAATCCTAATGGGTCTTCTTAGTGTACTTTTCCTGCGTCCATTGAGGCGCAGACAAATGCGCGCTCGTATTAAAGCGTGATCAGAGTCTAAACAAGTATTCCAATGCGAGCGACAATGTTCTATTGAGCCTCTCCAACGATGACTGATGACAATATGGTCTATTTGAGTCCATCGTTGGTTTGGTTCAGGGGGTTGCCATGTTAGACGATGTCTCTCCTTATGTTTAAAATTAGTGCTTGCTAAAAATAAACGATTGTCTGAGCATAGTTGCAACAGACGATCACCAGAATCGATCACAATGGCGTAGGTGTATACACTCTTTATCTTCCCTTAAACCTTGAGATTAAAATTGCTTCATAACTTTTTTCCCTTCCTATACTATATCCTTCTATACAACCTTTCTTTATATACTACCACCACTAAATTAATTACTTCTATGAATCCGGTGTTCATCTTGTGCTAACGAGGTATGGCAGCTTGAACCAATGCGTATATGTACCTGGTCCTACGTTGTCGCTGACTGACTGACTGAATTGAACCCTCTACAGGAAGAAAGCTATGGGTTTTTTAATGCAGTAATCCACACTCAGTACTGTTAATATAAATACAATTACTGTGTTGTTTAGAGTTCAATGTTGACTGGATCCCATCTATCTTGTTAGTTATTTTTAAAAGTACACCTTTGTGTGTCATTGTTTTGCATGTATAAAAACATTTCTTAGTGATATGTTGTTACCCAGTAAATCATTCTGTATGCAAAACCAACAGCACCATCAATCTTTTATGTATATAAAAAATGCTGACATTTTTCACCTCTTTGTTATTTTAGCCAGTTGAATCCTGTTTTGCAAATATAATGGAAGATCAAGGAAGTGATAGCTTTGATTTGAATAATATTACACCGTCCATAAATCTTTCATCATCTGTAAGTTCGGTTGACACATATATTTGTTGTTGTGTCTGTCTGAGTTTTGTAACAAATTTATCATGATAACTGATATCTTTTAGCACTGCTTTTCTTTCTCATGACAGTATTCTGTTTTTCTTCTTCGTCTTATCTCTCGTATTGCTTCGGAATTTATAATTAATAATTTACTTTATCATTACAACATGTATGTTTTTCCCTGTAAGATGTTCTAGTAACTAACAAGTCTATTCAATCGTAAATTCAGTATTAGTTAAAGAGTTTTATAAGATTATTCATGAAATACAAGTGAAGTGTATTTGGCTCCTGTTCTTTGAGTTGTGTTAACACTAAGCTTCTGTGATTTATTCATAATTAATTAACCGTAGTTTGCCAATGATTATGACAGCTTTTATGGATCGTTTGTGCTCGCCTTTTAGCTTTTTTATCAATCCATTGTGTTGTAACTTGCCCTTGGGTAACTACGGTTATTTACTATTCCAAAGGTGACAATTATCTTTAATTCACTCACTAAGCATAATAATATTAGCCGGTACATAGTGATAAGGTTTACGTAATTAATTACTTATGCTTGTTACTCCTCTTGAGGCATACGCTATCGACCTGAGATCTTCAAGTAATTCTGTCCTGAGCTCTCCTTCCCAGCTATCTGTTTCCAATTCCCAACACCATGTATTCTTTGGTTTGTTTCTTTTCTTTTCGTCCTGAGGATTCTAGTTCAAAGCTTACCTTATGATTCAGTTTAATAATTTCTGTAAGGCGTGTCCTATTCACCCTTAAACTCTCTTCCTAATGTTGTCAAGTGGCAGATGATTTTTCCTCTCTCAGATTATGTTATTGCTGATGGTTACTGACCAATGAATCTTGAGTATCTTCCATAGGGAGTCGTTTACAAACACCAATACCTTTTCGACGGTTCTGATAGTTCTCCAGTTTTAGCTCCGTACGATAGCATTTGACAGCGTGGATAGAAGAACCGCCGACACTGTGGTGTACCTGAGAAAATCGTCAACATCATCCGGAAATCATAAGGCAGACTACACTCCAGAGTCGTTCATTATGGACTGTTGACAGATACATTCTAAGTAAAAACTGGGGTCTGACAAAGCTGCTCATCCTCCTCCTTTCTGTTTCTTCTAATGATCGATTGGATTATGGAGACTTCCACACCTAAGAGGAAACACTAAATACAATGGACGGTCTTGATGCAACAACACGATTTGAACTCGCAGATGACCTAGCTACTCTATCCCATACACATCAACAGACGCAGATGAAGACAACCAGTTTGGCATCAGCCTCTGCATCAGTAGGTCTCAAAATACACAGGTCAAAAATCAGGATCCCCAAATACAGTGCAGAGAACACCAACCCAATCATACTTGATGGAGAAACTCCGATAAAGATGGAGACTTTGTCGTACCTGTTCAGCAGTATCATCGATGAACGTAGAGGATCTGATGCAGACTTAAAGGTAAGGATTGACAAATAAAAGATAGCATTCTTACAATTGAATAACATACGAAACTCAAAACAACTGTCAACCAATATCCGTAAGAATTTTCAATACAAACGCCAAGACAGTTCGACTGAACGGAGCTGAAACTTCGAGAACTACCACAACCATCATCAAAATGGTACAAATATTTCTAAACAATTGTCTATACAAGACACTCAATGTCCGTTGACCGGATACTACCAGCAACAGCCTACTGAGGGAGAGAACAAACCAGCTTCCAACTGAAGAGGAAATTAGGAAAAGACGTTGGAGGTGGATAGAAGTCAAATTTCGGAAATCATGAAACTGTATCACGAGGAAAGCGATAACTTGGAATCGTGAAGGACACTGAAAAGAGGAAGACCAATGAACACACTATGCCGGGAATTGGCATCAGACATCAAAAGGATGGATAACAACTTGAAAGGATTGCTCAGGACAGAGTTGGGGGAAGAATGCTCGTGGATGGTCTATGCTCTTCTATGAGGAGTAATAGGCGTACGTAAGAAAGTACAATAGGTTAGCGCTTACAATTCTGACTAGTTTTAGGTGAAAATTCTTTTGAATACCAGTTATAGGACTGTTACATTTGCTTTGACAATTCATGCCTTAACATCTACATTTGCTGCCGTTTAAGCGATAGCAGCTTTAGGTCATTCAACTCTGTCCAAGGCTTTGGCTAGATTCCTTTCTTTTCCTGAATTTTGGAGGTCTTCATTATCCACTCAACAATCACAAGGACAAGTAAAGGCGAGAGTAAACTGTCTTGTCTGACACCAGTCTTAACTCTGAATGAATTGCTGAGTATTTATGTGACATAGTCAAATCAAAAAGATATGTTGTTACTGTCTTTGACGAGAAACAAAAGTAATTTGAATAATATATATCTTTTTATCTTGATGTACGTTATACATGTTCTTATTACAGTTTAAACATAGTGTCTGAATCGTCAGTACTGTCTGTCAGGCTTAATCCATGTATCTATATAAAATTGAATCCTACAGCGACATTTAGTGTACTTTCTTATAATTTGACTCATTCTGTTGTGATAGGGATACATAATTTTTCGTCATATAATGAACTATATTACGCTCCAGGGTAATCTGAACAATTGGACTAGCATCTGATCTACGTTCTGTGTACATACAATATCGTTAGTAGTAAAAAAGTCTATAAATTATCCACGGTTAATAAGTGTCCTGCTTCCAAACTCTAAAGTGTAGACTGACTAGTGCTTGGATAAAGAAGCTAGGCAGGCCCCTTTTTTCAGAAACTTATTGTCCCATGGATACAAGTAAAACGTTCTAACTTGAAGAGATATAATCAAATCGAAAGATCATAGTTTATTTATGTTTACTTAGATGACGTAACTGTCTGGCAAAATCTTATGGCCTCGTTAATTTTGCAGTAGTTTGTCCTATTTGTTATACATGCATATGACTGAATAGACAATACAGATTATATAATTCGGTACAATTTAACATCGGTTTAAATTGTATGTCAGTTTAAGTTGAAAAAGAAGGGCGACAATAATAATATCGACAACTTTTTTGAGCAGAGATGAATGATGGCTAACAGAAATAAATGAAATAAAACTCTATAATTTACATAAAGTAAGTGAGAAAATAAGCAAATAAGAATTATGATAATCTTAGTTTTCATTCTACCAGTTAAGAACTATTTTCATCACATGAATTAACTAAAGATTTTTATTCTGTTGATCTTTCGTATTTTCCTTCGTAAAAATGATGTAAACCGGTGAATCATATATCTAATTATGTATCATAGAGCTGGAAACCAATATCATAAACACGAAGATGTATCCCTTGATTTACTCTCGCTTGTTTCTATCATCTGTTTACTATGTGCAATCACAAGTCATTTAATTAATTGAATTCAAGTTATTTTATAACTTCCTCGTTTCATTTACATATTTTTCTAAAATGGATCTGGTTTCATTAATGCGATCACCAAATATTTAGTCTCATTTTGCTTTGCTTTTCCGTCTTTAATTAATTAATTATTGTTTGATCAACAACTCATAGTCATTAGTGTCTTGGTCGGATATTTTTAACATTAGTGGTAGCCATAATTACTTACTTACGCCTGTTACTCCCAATGGAGCTTTATTTATTTATTTAAAAACATAAATATTGGTACAAGGAAGCACCAGATAAATATGCGCCACACAAATCTCATGTGATTTGTGTGAGGGCTGTGATACTGCCCAGGTGCCCAGACTGAAGCAGGTGGTTTTCTTAGGGGGCCACACCCGGAGCCTTTGACCTAAAGGTCTAGTCCACATAGCAGTGGAGCATCGTAAGGAGATACAATCCCATGGTAGCCGGTGACCAACAATTGGTTCATACGCCATTCGTTCCTTCAGGATCCTGGAGTCCATGTGCACCATTGGTTTGGAATCAGGGTTTCCCAACTCCCCTAGTTGGACTTTCCGTGTCCACCAACCCGGTTAAAGCTCCGGACATTCGCTTTTGGTCCTCTCAATTTCGTAAACAATAGTAATGCCACGAGAAGGCAGTGAGTAGGACTTCCCTGTCAGAGGCTATATATTCTCGTGGCCATATGAGAGCATTTCGAGAGAGAGAGCAGACTCTCCCCACTTTCGGCCGTACCAGGGCATTTGGGGGCTCCCAATGGAGTATAGGCCACTGACCAGCATTCTCCAACCCACTCTGTCCCGGGCCTTCCTTTCTAGTTCTATCCAACTTTTGTTCATTCTTCTCATGTCTGTCTCCATTTCTCGGCGTAATGTGTTATTTGGTCTTCCTTTTCTCCTTTGACCTTCAGAAATCCAGGTGAGGCCTTGTCTTGTGACGCAGTTGGGTGATTTCCTCAATGTGTGTCCTATCTACTTCCAGCGCTTCTTCCTGATTTCTTCCTCCACTGGAATCTGGTTTGTTCTCTCCTACAGTAGGTTGTTGCTGATAGTATATAACCAACGGATCCGAAGTATTTTCCGTAGACAACTGTTATTAAACACCTGTATCTTCTGGATGATGGCTTTCGTAGTTCTCCATGTCTCCGCCCCATACAATAGAACTGTCTTGACATTTGTATTGAAAATTCTGATCTTGGTGTTGGTTGACAATTGTTTTGAGTTCCAGATGTTCTTCAGTCGTAGTTATGCTGCTCTTGCTTTGCCGATCCGCGTCTTCACATCTGCATCAGATTCACCGTGTTCATCGATTATGTTGCCCAGATATGTAAAGGTTTTCACATCCTCCAAAGCTTCTCCGTCAAGTGTAATTCGATTGGTGTATGTTGTATTGTATCGGAGAATCTTGCTTTTCCCTTTGTTCATATTGAGACCTACCGCTACACTGGTCGTCTTCTCCTGCATTTGTTGTTGTGTGTGTGATAGAAGAGCCAGATCATCTGCGAAGTCTATATCGTCCAGTTGCATCCTAGCTGTCCACTGTATCCCGTACTTCCCTCCAAATGTTGACATCTCAATGATCCACTCGATCAGCAGGAGAGAGAG